CACATTTTTTTAACAGTCTCAAATTTCAGTATTCAGAAGTCGAAAAGTCACTACCTAGCATTCATAGCTTATAATACAACTAAGTCTCTCTAGACTTCAGAAAACGGTAATTTCCTGTCCAATTACATTAACACATTCAGAAAACAAAACAGAAAACAAACAAATAGGAAACAAAAAACCAACCCTACTGCAGATCCTGTCTTACCTGCATCCCTCTCATTTTCTGATACCGAGCAACAGTATCACTGATGGTGTAGACACGAACGTGACCCATGTGAAGTTTTCCAGAAGGATAGGGGAACATAGAAAGCACATAAAATTTTGGTCTTGATTTCTAAAAAGGAATTGTTAGAAAGTTTTAACCACAGGTTAGCATTTCCTGGAATAAATACACGTGTACATTACAAACTACAAATTACCATGAAAAGAAACAAAATCCAGATCCTCAGCAAAAGTCCTGCAAACTCCAAAGCTCGGGCCTGCAGAGATGTTTTACCAGACTTCGCAGCCCCCTCATCAATTTACATTGATGGTTATATGACACTTGAAAGTCAGATTTTTAATAAACTTTTACTTAATTAAAGATAAATTGCCAGCAGCTTAACAATCAGCACTCTGTACCATAGCAGCTGTATGGCGTTACCTGCATACTGCTAATGCTTCCAATCAACTAAAGAGAACGATAGATAAACTCTGAAGTTTCAGTAAGTGTTTTACACTGTATTTACAATGAATATGGAGCTCACACATGGCCAAGTTTGTGTAACATACTGAGAAACTACCTCACTTCTAATGGTACAAACATCCACTGATGTGAAACTCCCCAGCTTTACTCTTACACTCAGATACAAAGTAGTCTTAAAATCCTTATCCTGAAATTTAATTTAGTCAGGCTTGAGTAAACTGACAAAAGTTACAGAGGAAATCAAACACGGTATCTCCCATAACTTATTCGTAAAATGTTTTGATTGCCACTGAATTTATCTTTGATACATGCTTGATAAGCTATTACATTATTTTTCTTTTAATAGCGATGCAACAACAAAAAAAGAAGATGGAGATTTACTATTCTGAACTCTGCTCTATATTCATATTTATCATATTGCCTCTTAATAAGAGATTTTCTACTTTAACAGTCAGGACAAAACAAATACGTACTTTAAAATGCCATTCATAACTTGACATATGTATTATATGTACAAACTATCTACATGTACATGTATTAGCACATAATAAAAAGAAAAAGGCTTAAGTTCGTGCCTTCCCTTCTAGACATACACATACCTGCTATTTTCATCTCAGTTTTCTTTGTCAGAAAAAGCAAGCCCCCTTCCTACCTTTGACAGTTGGATAGCACTGATTTGCTTTGCTGGAGAAAGGGCACATTTTTAGGACAGAAGAACATGCAAACAAGAGGGGGCCAAAAATAAGTTTTGATCTCTATGTGACTGAGCGTAACTGAGAAATCAAAGAGTCAAATACAGAGGCTACAGTTGTTTTCAACATCTTTCATTGCATGGGAATGTATTTTTTTCTGTAAGTTACTCATTACTTCTAACTCACTTTAAAACAGAACACGTTGTTTAAAAAAAGCAACTTCCTGCAACAAAGATCACAGTGCCCAGTATAATAGCTTGTCATAAGCACACAGAACATTACTTCAAAAAGTTATGAAAGTAAAATGCTTTAATGCTTTTAATGCTTTAAATAATTTCTGAATGTAATACAAAATTGGAAGAAACAATTGAGTAAACACTGTGTACATTTACAAGCCCATACTCTGCTGAACACCATGTTCTTCCTTCCTTCTCCCACCCACTGCAGTATTTGCTTTTAATAATCTACTATTTTATAAAAATATTCCCCTCTCAACTATAATATAAATCTCATCATTGTGAGCTAATTGCTTTAAGGATTTTTAAATTAATTTTATTTTAAGGATACAAAAACATCAAACATAATTTGTAAATTTCTCACAACGCTTACATCTGTTTCTGAAATTCTGCAGAACTGCTCCTTTATTCTTGGGAACCACCAGTTTTCCACTCTTCTCCTTGTCTCCTGCCCATAGCTTTTCTCCCATCTCCCCGTCTCGCTGTAAATAGTTCTGATACAAACAGGAACCAGATTCCTCTGCCGTTTAACGAGTGCCAAGAAGCCATTCATTTGTTTGTTCAAACATGAGGAACAGGCACCAACTCTCTGACAAACCAACTGCATTCTTAGTGCTACCGTGTCCATTCTGAAAGATAAAAATACACAGCTCAGTCTCCAATACAGAGCAGTATTCCAGAGGTTATAAGATTATACAGCAACTTGGTAACTGAAATACTTTTTTGCTCAGTTTAGACTACTTTGTTTTCTATTTGCATTTCATTCCCATGCACTTAAATTATACAAGCATTTATGTTTTATCTAAGAGAATGAACTGTGGACCTTACATTGAGCAACACTATTATGATAGATTTCTTCTCTAGCACTCCAACTCCCATAAAAGCAGCATTAGTCACTGAAGACCCAAGAACTCAGCTGACTGAACAGAAGTGGGCTAACAGTGTTAGTAATCATTTAGATGAATACAGGGAGAAGAGGAAGTTGGATGAAATTATTCAGTAAAACTCCTGAATTTGTCATCAAGGATAAGAGATGGAGGAGGATTACTATAATTAGTAGATTTCAGCTAGGCAGTCTAAATAGAGTATTGTGCTTAAGGGTTTCCTTGTCAGTATCGCTTCCTGCTAGAACTACCTGGGAAACTTACTAAATCAGACCTGAATTGTATAAGGTAAGAAAAATTGGTTCTAGAGAGATCTATTCTCCATAAACTGAAAACCCAATTAAAATAACTCCTCACGTGCTTCAGAATGAGTGTTCCAGAATAAAAATTACTCAGATGTGAAAAAGATCAAATAGTGTTCAAGCTCATGACTAGTCTCAATAAGATACAGAAGCATAAAGTTAATAAGGCTGGAAAAGACCACTAAGATCAGCTAGTCCAACCGCCAACCCACCCCACCATGCGCACTGACCACGTCTCTAATACAAAACATCTAATTCTTATATGAAGCATTTACTGATTTTACCAGATCTTTTTTCCTAAAGTAGAAAATAAGGCATTAAATAAAACCACCAAAAATAAACCAACTTTTATATTTCCCCCATTACACGTTGTATTTCTTTACTGTACATCACATATACGCATACACATGCCTTCCCTGTCCGCCTCATCGCCTGCCTTCAGAATTGCACTTTTCTCTCCTCCTTAACTAGCAATCTCTTTTAAATACTCTTTAATTACTCACAGCAGTGCCCTGAACTTTTTCCTTGCTAAATCTCTAAAACCTTTCTCAATTGTAATAACAAATCCAGAACTGGACTCAGGACTCCAAGCACAGTTGTGTACGAGTTACTCAGAAGCCACTCCATTTCCTGCCTCTACAGCGTGATGACACTTATACATGCAGCACAAAATCAACAAGAACTTTTTAGTACTTGCCTACTTTACTGTAATTCTTACTATTTCTTTATCGATCCTATTACTTCGGCTTTGTAAGAGAACGGAGCTTTGTCCTTCCCTCCAGAAGCCGCTTTCAGGACTGAGATAAGGGCTGGGGTCTCCCCAACCCCTCTCATGCACTCCTCAGGCCGTGCAGGACACAGGAGGACAGCACAAGCAGCGCATGTACGGCGTGGCCTTCCCTGGTGTGCGCACAGCTGAGGACAAGCATGGTGCCACAGGTACGGGCACCCCTCCCACTGCCACAGGCTGCGCGACACGCACCGCACACGGCAATAGTTTGAAAAGAGCATGAGGTCGGACTGATAGAATGGAAAGGAACGCAGCTCGAGACCCTGCACAGCAGTGATGCTGTAGCACACAGGCAAGGGAGCCTAGGAGAACCAGCAGAGCAACGGGGAGACTGGGGGAGAGGAAGATTGAGGCGCGGAGGGCGCAGGGCGGACGGGGCCGGGCGGAGATTGGAGACGTGCTGGCGGGAAGCCGGGAACGGTTACCTGCGCGCGGGAAGGTGCGGCCGCAACACGTGCGCCCTCAGCTACCGCCTCCCACACTGGGCGCCGCCATCTTGGGGTGGGTGGGGCGGCGGCTCTGCGCCTGCGCCGTTCCATACGCATGCGCAGTGGGGTGGTGTGTGGGGGGCGGGGCTGGGCTGCGCCTGTCCCACGCTGCCTGGTCGGGTGGCTGGGTGGAGGCGTGGTGGTTCTGCGGCTGCTGCGTTGTGAACGGGACGTTCTAGTGCTGGGTTTGTTTGTTTGCCCCCTTTTTTCTTCTAATGCGGAAAAAAATAAAGCAGAAGTCAATAAAGACAATTTAGAGCAGCGTAATTAATTAATTCTAGCTCTGGCTGGAAAACATCTTACCCAGCTGTCAACACTGTACAGTTCAGAGTTGTTTGCAACTACTGCAAGTTGCTCGTCATAACGTACCAGGAACAAGAAGAACACTTATTTAGTCCTGTGGATTTGTGCCCTTTTGCTTCCAGCAACAACTGGCTCTTTAAGTCTTTAAACTCTTTTATTGAGCACTGTTTTTCTGCTGGAGTTTAGATTAACACATTCTGTTTGTGCAGTGTGATGCCTACATTATGGTGGAGCTTCTTGTCTGCTAGAGCCAGAGCCTACTTATGTGACTAAAAATACATGTTTACCAAATAAACTTTCTGCTTGGTTGTGTGTACCTGTCAAGTCTGTTTATGCTGTAAGCCTTTTGCCACAAAAACAAGCTGAGCATCTCCAGTACTTGCACTGCTTATAAACTACTGCAGCTCTGCCAGAGCTGAACATACAATTTTTGTATGCAGGGGACAGACACGGGTCAGTCCTCACCCAAGACCTTGTTCCAGGATCTTGTAAGCAGCAGCGACATGTTTGCATGCTGAAGGATGATATTCTGCACACCTATCTAGATAGCATCCAAGTGATTTTTTTCAGTTTGGTGCCTGAACTGGCTTAGTTCATTCATGGATCGGCTCCTTATTTACCTGTGCAGTGTGTGAGACTTGAGAAGTCTGTCCCTGATCTCCTGATTCACGTGGGTTAATTCAAGAGCTCACATCCCCAAGTTCTCTGCCAAGGGTTACTGCCTGTTAGACAGAGAGATAAGTGAGCACTCAACCCAACCCATGCCTTGCCTATCAAGATGAACCATAGCTGAATTTAATTCTCATTTATACATACTGCACCTAGTCCTAGAACGAACCTAGAATCTTCTGGTGCATACTGGGCTATGAACTATGACAGTATACAGACCTGCTTTGTGATCTCTGCTGGATTCAGCTGGTTCCCACTTCTAAAGTGAAAAGAGCTGCCACAAAAGAGCTGGCAGTCCTTGCATGCAGAAGCCTCTTTACTTTGCGCATGAAGCACCTCTCACCTCAACCTGGGACACAATATGGTAAAGATCAGACTGAATGGAAATGGCAAGATATGAGAGAATTATTCCATTTTGTCTTTAAAACATTTTGAAAATCAATTGCTCTCAAGTTTAAAATTATCTAAATCTCTGGAATGTTAAAGTACCAAACATTAAACATATTGACCTATATTTCTCAAGGTCTGACATCAAGATTATAGTTGATTGAGTCGTCAGACCTTTGTCTTATTTTTTTTAATCCATTCATCTCACTAAAAAATTGCTTTCTCATCCTCACAATCTGCTTATAGATTTCATTTGCTTGAAGCTAAGGATAATCTGTTTAGATGAATATAAATTAATTGCAATCTTAAATGCCTCCAAGGAAGCTAGAAGGATGTTACACAGAAACACAGACCTACCATACCTTGGGAGCACTCAGGGCTGGGCCCACGTGGACCCTCAAGCATTTCTACATTCACCAAATTATGCAGCAACTCAAAGTGGATGTGGGTCAAGGTCAGAGATTCATCATAATACTGTTGAGATGTGCGTGCTGCTAAAGGGGGGGGTTGGCGTACTACTACAGGAGAGGAGTTGTAAACGGATGGAGGTTCTCTTGAATAACAACACTGTACTGAGGTCTGCCTACATGCACCACTTAGCAGCCACTATTTAAAAAAAAAAAAAAAAAAAAAAAAAAAAACCACATTTTCAATTACTCCTTAGATCCCTCTGGGAGGAGTTGGTGGTATGATTCTTGTATCAATTAGACAGATCACTGCAATAGGAAAGACTTTATAACAAAGGTGCAATAACAGAAGGACCAGCACAATAGAAAGGTGCTACAAGGGAAGGAAAGAAAATTCCTCACCTGCACCAGAAGGGTTTGCAAAGGAAAGCTGCACCAAAAGAACACTCCAGAAAGAGAACCTTCCCCTTAAATGGGGTCTAGGAGAGGTGCAGCCAGGCTCCACCTCTTCGTCACACAGCTGAATTGCCTTCACTTGTGCTCCATGGCTGACTCCGTGCTTGCCTCAGGTGATCAATCAGTGGTTCAGGCTGTGACTCAGCACTTCCCATACAATTCTGATTAGCTAGGGGTTGGATGTTAGTAGAGGATCTTTATGATCCTTTCCAACCCAAGCCATTCCATGATTCTATGAAAAACAAGTAAAAAACATTCAACACGGGTTTAAACGGGTAGTATCTGTCCTATAGATAGGACAGATAGAAGATGACTTCTGTGAGCAGTAAATACTACTAGGACCTTACTCAAAGAATACACTGGCCTTTTCATTTGTGTCACTTTCCCATTGATTTTACTGAAGCTCATTCTGCTGCATGTGGATTCTGATAGAGAGGAAGGTAGACAGTATCAGATGAAACTAAACAAGATGCACGATTGTCTGTAAACAAATTAAAAAGAAGTGAGGTAAACTGAGATCAATCAAAAACAGACACAGAAAGAAAGAAGAGCAAAGCTATTTTGAGCAGCATGATAATCCAGGGAGATAAAAAACACATGCACATGTATGCTGTTATCTGGCATTTGGGCTTGCTCATTGGTTTAGTCATGATAAGATTAGTAGAGTTCCCAATCTGCTAAGCACTAATTGTTTGGAATCACCATTTTAAAAGTTAAGATTCAGTGTCACCGAGAAGTTCAAAAAATTACATATGGTCTAAGAAGAAAAGCCAAACATACATTAAAGCTTTCTTCCAAATGCTGATACTAACGTTTCCTAACTTTTTTAACATACACTTTCCTCACTTACCAACAGCCAATAGGCCCTTTCTGTCTTCTGTGCCCTATCTGCATGTTCTGATGGCTGTAAGGTTAGCCAAATTGTGAACGTAGAATAATTTACCTGCTACATGTAAGACAAACACAAAAAGAGTCAAGGAAAAAGACTAGGGCAGTAATGCTTTTAGAGGGCTTCAGATACTGCTGAAGATTACAGAGGGTTTAGAGGCTACTGTACCTCTGCTTTGTTCTTTAATTTCTGTGTACGTGAGTTGAATAAATGCAGTAGCAGAGTTTATACCAAGCACATCACTACATTCAATGTCCAGATGTGCCAGGGACTCCAGCCAGAATATCAAACTATGAAGCCTTCAAATAGTAGAATGTACTCTTGTAATGAATCTAAGAGGTCCTCAGACTTTTCCAAACAGTGGACCTACCCACTCTCGCATTATCCCCACCTTCCCAAACAAAACCTTGGGTTTGCTTGTTAATCTGGGCCATTTGCATAGACTCCTTTCATTATGAGAAATTAGTGATACAATGACACTAGTATTTATCTTTATGTGAACCTTAACAGTAAGTTATTTTCTATGTGGCTGGTATTCTTCTGTTTCTTTTTTCATGCTGGAGCTGCATAGCATTTGCACTGCCTTGTTTGTTAGCATTTTTATTAATCAACACAAAGCCCGGAGATAATTTAGTCATTAGATAATTCATTAGTTCCTGTATGAGGGATCTGCAGAAGCGCCCCAGTTGTCTGTCACTTAAATAGATGTACTTCCCACATTTCTGTGTAAGTTACTGGAGTTGATGTTAGTGTTTCCTGGCATTGTTCTTTTGCTCCAGTATAAAAAATATTTCTGGTATTTTTCTGGCTTCCTATGAGAAGAGGACTAAAAGGCAGTATTTGGAGTAAAAAATAATGTTTATTGCCTGCATACTTCAAATCTAGCCTTGTTTCATGTAATTAGTTTGCTTCTTGTTGTTTTTTTCTTCATTAAACTCCTTTAGAACAGCTTTTGCTTATGAATTTCACTTTCACTTTATTAACATATATGTGTATTTAGAGGTTTTGCTTTAAAGCATAAGGTCAGATAAACACAGGTGACTGGATTGCAGAGTGTAAAGAGTAGCACTAGAGAATATTAAAAAAAATAATAATAGACTACATAATATAAAGAAGAAGAAAAAAAAAAACCCACAACTTTCTCTCAAAGCCCTATCTCCCATCAGAGACCATATCTCAAGGGGAAGAATTCCAAATGACTCCATGAAGATAAATAAATAGAACCTTCATTTTTCCAGTAGAGTTTACTTAAAGGGCACTCAAATATTGCAGTAATGGAAGAATAAACTCTTGAAAAATACAGAAAGGTAGAGTTATACTTTTGGGATAGAAGGGAATGGATTTGGATAAGACACAGTATTAGGAGTAGAGCTTAATCTGTTCATGAAAGTATTAAGTGATATGCTTGGTGCTCGCTCTGCTGGGAGACCGACCTCAGTCATGAAGGAGGTTCTTCTCATGCAAAGCATTTAAATCAACACAGGTTCATTCATCTCTTGATTTTGCAAGATGGATAACTTACACAACGCACAAATGGAAAAAGAGAGAAGCTAAATAACAAGCAAATACATTCCTCCCATCCAGGGGGCTGTGCTTGGCAAACAGGATGGTCCCATCTAGTTGGAAAATCCACCAACCTGGGCCTGTCTGAGTGCCACTTGTCCTGCCACAGAGTGACAAGGAAGGATTTTGAAAATGAGCAAGATCAAGGCTTAGTGGAATCCTATTTAGCAGCATTGTTTTGAAATGCAGATGTTGGCACCAGACAACCCTATTTAAGTTCTAGCGAGCCTCATTCTGAGCCCATTTTGTTCAGCACTTACGTTGAGGTGGGTGTCTGCAAGGGGATGTGTTGAACCCAAAATGTACATCCTGCTTATTCAGATCAGTATCTCTGATAGTCAAGAGCTTCTTACCTATTCAGACCAAAGTTCACAAGTTAAATGTGTACCTGTAAGTGATGTTTGCAAAATCAATACACTTTTGGCTGTTGTTTTCTTTCCTTCATCAACAATCCAATTTTCAAGCAAAGTAATCCATGCTGTTTATCCACCTTGGCCACCTTCTAATTCACTGGCACAATTTTGTTGTTGTTCAAAGCTAGTTAGATATAGTGAAGAGCAAAACTACACTTATGCAGCATTCAGAGCTTGATGTTTCTTACCTTTAATCTGAAAAAAAACAGGATGTTTTAAAGATTGTTAAAGTTCTAAAATGTCCTGGTGAACCAGTGGACTGCTAGTGGTGATATACTGTCAGTAAGTTGTCCGTGACCCAGATGCATCTGGGACTGATAGCCTCTCTTATTTACGTGTAGGAGCATAATTTTTGGAGTCTGGTCACAGAGTCGGACAGCATGGAAAGCAAACAGTTGCCTGTCCCATAAGGGAGGTGAACTGGCTTGGCAAAGGGCTCAATGACTGCCAGGGCCAGAACGAAGCCAGGGATCATCCAGTTGAGAGCAGTGTAGGGATGTAAATGGAGCAGGAGAAAAATTATGAAACCTGTCCCTTTGGGTTGGCAGGGAAATTGTTGGGCTGTCTCAGTCCCTATCACCCTCTTTCACAGAAAAGCTGTGTTTTACAACAGTGTGCACTACTGCATCAGAGAAGAAAGAGTAAACAGGAAGACATGCATTAATGAACCCCTTGTTGTTTGATGATGTTTCTTTTGCTAAGGACCAGGCTCTGTTAAAACAGGCGGAGAATGGACATTTTCCATTCACTATAACAACCTGCTTTTTACACTGATGGCCAAACTTCATCATAGCAATTATCCAACATCTAGACTGCACTTAAACTTTCTAATGATATCTGACAGCAGGAAACAATCTGAGTGCTGGATAAAATCATCCTGCACACCAGGGTTGTCTTTTCAGCTGTTAGCGGGCTTCAGGAAGGACTGCAGTAGAGCAGGATGAAAATATCTCAAGGTCTTAAAATTAATAAGCAAAAAAAAAAAAAAAAAAAAAAGATCTGTTATTGTGTGGAAAAGTTAAAATACTTATTCATACTAGAAAGCTCATTGCAGCTTGGAAATTGTTGAACATGCACACTTAAGTATGTGTATAGATACTGCCTGCAAATGTAAAAATATATCAGACATATCACATTTAAACATGCCCCACATGGAAGAAAATGGGATTTCAGTTTTTATTTCCCTGTATTTCTACATATAGTGTAATTACTAAAGGAGAAAGAATGATTGCATTATTCTTGTTAGTTGAACTGAAAACAAGATGAAAGGAGCCCATGTTTACCAGGGGAGCACAGTGCTAGAATAATCTGATAGCTTTCCCTTAATGAGATAATGGATTTTCCAAAATTGAAAATGTGGTAAATCTCATTTGGACCTTAGTAAAGCACTTGATACACTCCTAAATGGCCAAATATTAATGAAGCAAAAGAATTTGGAGATTACAGAGGACATGAAAGGCAGGAAGGAATTGACTGATAGAAAAGAGCAGAGAAAAGGGAAGAAGAATCAAGAGCCAAGAAGCAAGTAACCGCAAAAGTTACTCAAGGGTCTCTTTTGGGACCAGTGCTGGTAATATTTTCATTACCTGCAGTGGAATATGAATATGATAGGTGTGCTATTGAAATCTGAAAATGAAGGAACACAGCTAATACAGAAGACAACAATTGTATATTAAAACCTTTTTGACTTGGACAGGTACATAAATGGGAAATAGTGTTTGATTAGAAGACAACTGAGGGCATGCACTTCAGGGTTAATGAGACATTTCTTCTCTAAGTGAGAAGAGAGATGACTCAGGCAGACAGAATGCTGGGTATCATAGGTGATCACCAGATAACGATGAATCAACTGTGCAATGAAGCTGTGAAATAGATGGACATGCTCATAGCACACTTCAGACAGGGTATTTCCAGCAGAAAGAAAAAGTTTCATTGTAAAGGCATGGATGAATGCACACCTGCAACACAGTATACAGCCTGTCACATTTCTGTAAGAAAGATGAATTCATCTGCAACGAGTGCAGAGAGGTACCACAAAGCGTGTTACCATTTAGAGAAACTAATAATAAAACCTAGACATACTGCATTTAGAGTAGAAAGAAAACCAGATTCTCACTACTGCATCAGAGAGGTCCTGTAACAACTTCCTACAAGGGTGGAAACAACCTCCCTTTTACAATAGTCTGCACTACTTTTAAGGACAAAATTCAACCCATTAGCAGGAAAGGTGATGTGACATGATCCCTGTGGAGAGCCGGGGCCTGGTCCATGTTTCATAATAGAGGATGCTCCTTGAAGTATTGTAACTTATTTCCCTGGAAAAATTCTGATTTACCTTCTGAAGTGACCTTGCTCTATAGACACACGAATCACAAAGCTTCGAATCAGAAAGCAAAGCAGATAGAGCCATGCTATTCATCCTGCAGTATGGTGGGAAGCCTGAAGGTCCTACAGGTGCAAAGCTGTAAATTGTGTTCTTCTGACCCCTCAAAACTGCTTATGCTTTAATAAAAAAGTTAACTTTTGAAAGGGGGAAAGTTCCTTAGCATATTTTTCAGATAAAAAAACCTGCCTGCATAGCTTGCAGGCATACCAGATGTACCAGATAAGCTCATTCAGCATTCCTTATTTATGTTGAAATGATGTGATGGAGATGGGCAGGAGAGGATGTTCTGTACTTTTTTGTCCCAAAAAGAAGATTCAAGCAAAGGACATGCAATTTCAGCAGAGGATGTACCTTCATTCATTTCTTATCAACATAAAATCACTCGTTCATGCAAGAATGACCTAAGCCTGGGAACAGTGGTCATGGACTCAACGCCTTTCCCTATTAGCATTTTTTAATAATTGAACCATGGCAACACCTTGCTGTTGGGTAATAAAGGAGGCACTGAAATGCAGCAGAAGGCAAGCAAACAGTTTTGTTGTGCTAGGACACTGTGCCTGCTTTCTGCCTAAGACAACCAGCTCACCTCCGTGGGCATGCACAAAAGGTACATGGAGCCCACGCTGGGCATTGCTCTGGAAGCAGTATTGTCCAGGGTTTATTTTAGTTGAGGAAAGCTGTTTACTAAGAGGGAAAGATCATCTGGTGCCAATGCAAGGCAACTAAGTCAGAGCCTTCTTCTCTTCTTGGACTTCAGGGAACTAGTCTTGCTTAAGGATTGCTTTTGTAAATGCTTTTGTTTTCAGCTGTGCCCTCTGGACATGATGGACTGTTGTAAAGTTGGTTGCAGGATACCCCTGCATTTTAGAATTATTATTTTATGTACCAATCTGCTGCTTCTCATCGTGCCTGTGTGGGGAGGAGAATCTGCAGAAGGGCCAGCAGTGCAGAAGGAATGTTTTTGGTGAAAAATGGTGTGATGTTCAGTGCAAGTCTGCGTGCCACACTACTGATGCAACAAGGACTCTGTGATCAACAAACAGAATAAATGAAAAATGTGAGAGTTCCAGGAGGAGTGCTAATAATCTGTTGTCAGACTCAGCCCAATAGCAAAGAAGAGAGGGGAAACAAATGCCAGTTTGAGAGTCCAGAGCCTCAGAAAGGGGTTGTACCAGTGGTGCAGCCTGCAGTTGTGGCCACTTGGGCAGCCACATGGCTGCTCCAGCTTGTACAGCTTGAAAGCCTCAAGGATCCCACATCTGGGAATGGTGACAGCTATTTAGCTGCAAGGCCAAAGACCATTGTGCTGCTTTAGATTATTGCAGATATTACAGCTGGAAATTTTATGATGCTATTATGATCCCCTTCTGTCTCATACAATTACAGATACCTTCTATTCTTTATTAGCACTGTTTGCACCTCTGAGCACTGCTAAAGGAATTTTAATTTAATTTTCTTTGGAAAGAAAGCAAAAAAGGATTGGTGAGGCATTGTACATGCCGTTTGAAGTCTGGTAGTTTTTCCTAATGATCATCTACAATGACTTAACTTTAATCTTTTTTTTTTTTTTTTTTTTTTTTTGCTATTTTTATTAATTTATTGATGTTGCTATCAAACAGATCTATCTTGATGCCATGTAGACTATGGAGATAATAAGTTCATTTCATAGAATGATTGTGTTTGTTCGCTACAATACATGCACTATTCAAATCCATTGGTACTAGAAATCCTTTTGTTTCCTAATAATAAGACTAATAAGAGAATCGAATGCACTGTAATGCTTCCATACTGACTCCACATTTGCAGGATTTGATGTTATCAAACCCACCACTCTATTTCTAGCTGAAAATAAAGAAAAAGATATCACAGAAACTATATAAGAGAATGGCGTATATTGCTGCTTAATAGAAGATGTTTCAGATTTATTTGCTGTATCTAAAAAAAAGAATATTTTAAATCCTAAGCACTTGTATTTCACCAAAGGCTTTTTACATGGCTGCAATTTTTCAATGGTTGAGAGTGTCTCTTTGGACAGCAAGGCTCATTTTAGATTCTGTTCTCATAAATAAACAAAGACAAATTGTAGTCTGGAATTCAAGGCAAGTTTGCCTCTAGCTGTGCAGACCCACAGCGATGCTCAGGTGACCTGCTGAAGTGTCCTGCTTTGTGTCCTGTGTCAGGAGTTCAGGATTGCTTCAGCAATCAAATCAAACTTTCTTTAGTTCAGCCTGACCTTGTGAAAAACAATTTGCACAGAGTGAACAAAATGCCAAGACACCATTCAGATACTCTGTAAATAACAACATACAGACTCCTACTTTTGAGTCTTCATGCTTCTGCAAGTTTTTCTGGCTGTATTATTTCCTTCTAGCAGTGCTAAGACTAAGCAGTGCATATAATGTTTACAGTTAAGACATTTTGCAAACCCAATACTTATATTGTTACCTTGCACTAATTTAAACATTGTTTTCTACTCTTTACCATATGGAAGTCCAGTAGATGAGTAACAAATAGAAAGCAGCTTGATACCTAGAATTTCCAGCACACATTAGCACTGCTTTTACATTAATGGCATGCTCAGATTCCTTAAGGACTGTTCAGGATTTTTAGTGCCTATCTTTCCACAAATCTGGAAAGAGCGATGGAGAAATAGGAAGATAAAAAGGTGTACAAGAAGTCTGCAGCATGCCTTTAGACACGCCATTAGAGAGGAGAAATGAAATTCAATTTTTAATGAAAATTTAGGAACTCTAAAATGGTCCATAATGCATATACAAAAGGTGATTCTTGGGCAGTCCTATGGCTCAGTATCTTGTGAAATACCAGATGCACACTGAATGCTTTATATCCCTTAGGATACTAGACAGTCTTCGCTTTCTAATGATATAAACAAATCCATTCCTGCTTTAGTGCCTCCAAGGATTCTCTGCCTCGAGTTAGACAGTTTCAGTTCTGCAGACTTACTGTTCAGGGGCTGCACGTAATTGTAGTTTTTGGAGATAAAATTCATGTTTTAAGAAAGATAAATCTTTTGAATGTCTGGCACATTGTTCTGTATTTTCAAACTGTAGCTAGTGTTTGTAAAATATTGGTGTGAGAAGCTACCACGTGGCATGTGTTTATTGGGACTCATTTTCCTAGAAGTAAGGAAGACACAGGTACATGATAACTAGAGTTTATTGGTTATTTAGCTGGTTGACTAATTACCTATCCGCTGAAAAGAGAGTAAAAGTGCTTTTTGTTCTGGTCTCCTGGATATCACATGGTTAAAACTCATCATCAGGCTTTGTGAACAATTAGTCATTAAATTTACAATTATAGAATCATAGAATCACTTGAGTTGGAAGGGATCTTTAAAGGTCATCTAATCCAACTCCCTGCACCTATAGCTAGATCAGGACGCTCAGTGGCCCATCTCCAGGGACAGGGTATCCATCACATCTCTGAGGAACCTGTTCCTATGCTTCACCACCCTTAATTGTAAGAATTTTTTTTCCCTATATCCCATCTAAATCTCCCCTCTTTCAGTTTGAAACTGTTTCCCCTTGTCCTGTCACAACAGATCCTGCCAAAGGCTGCACAAGCAATTGCTTACCACCCCCTGACCAATGCCCAGCTGGCCCCCCAGTCAGCAGAAGAAAGCCACATGCACTCGAATTCCCTTCAAAACTCCTTCCATGTGACATCATATGGTATGGAATATCCCTTTGGGCAGTTTAATTCAGCTGTCCCAATTCTGTTTTCTTCCAGCTCTTTGGCCCTTCTCTGAGAAGGGCCTTGGCTCTGTACAACACTGCTTAGCAGGCAACTATAAAAAGAGGTGTGTTATCAACATTGTTGTTCTAGAACCAAAGCAGAAGAAAACAATTCTCTCCCAGCTGAAACTAAGACATGCTGCACTAAATCTTTTTGTGCTCTCAAACCCTTCCAATGACTCTGTCCTTCTGATGTTCGTGATTAAAAAATACAACAGGAAGGTGCTACCACACAGCAAAATAGGCTCCCTCATGAATAATCTAAAGCTGTAAACAAGCAGTGATGGTGTCTTCCCCCGTGATTATAGCTAGACACGGCAGACCAAAGGAAGCAGAGGTAGTGATTTTCTCATTAACAAATCTGGAACTGCAAGATAGAAGATTTACAAGGTCTACATGGAAGAGATGTGTAGCAGACCTCAAAACTGAACCCAGCTCCCCTGAAGTCCATGCCCATGGCAGAGCATCTCTGCTGATCACTATTTCTTTCTAACTGCCAACATAAAGGTTTAAATCCAGGTAAGTAGAGCTGAGCACCTTCAGCTCCCACTGATGGAGAAAGGACCAAGGGGTGCTCAGCCCATCACAGGACCATGTTGTCCTTTGCAGGAGGGCCACACCAGCCCTGCTCCAGGCAGGCCAGTGCAGTTCAACCTCCACCACCCCCAGGCTCTATTTCCTGCCTGCGTCAGAGCCTTCTTCTCTTATTTCTCTTGTCTCTAA